ATCCCCACTCCCTCACCACAGGGTCCCCCCATGCCCCTTCCCCACCAACAGATATACTAGCTGGATGCTGCTCTCCAAGATGCCGGGCTGCTTATTGGCAATCGGATTGGTATTGCCTGGTATGGCTCATTAATAATCAGCCATCAGTATTGGCCCAAAAATTCTTTATCATGCACCCCTAATATTAACTACAGCTTCAGTATGTTCTGTAGGGTCCAATCCAACTTCTACTGAAGTTAGTGAAAAGAACGATAGAAACAGCAGGGGGAGCTATATCAGGTTCTAAGAGCCAAGGAAGTATAGTCCAATGTAAGGGTCTGGGAAGTGAATTCCAGTGTAGTCCCACACCAGTATCATGGCTACAAGCCAGAAAAGCAAGTCATTCAACTGCTTGAATGATGTATTGATACCACTCAACCCGTACAGGGGCAACAATGTCTGTCATTTGTGGTAGTATACAATCAAGCCATAGATGTCTTCTACTATATACAGGAGGTGGGAAAGTCTGCTCTGCTCATGAAGCTCCAACAGGAAGTTTAAGTGGTGTGAAAAACCTTGCACTGGCTTTCACGCCTAAAAGTCAGTTGTAACTATTCTGTTTTTAAAGCGTACTCACAGAAGTCAGTTCCATACTTCAGTCCTACTTTGGGGACCCATCCTTTACTGCGGAAGTAGTGATATGCCATGTATGTTGTTCTAAAACTGGGCTGCACTTCACCAAAAACTTTCCATAGCTCCAAGATAGTTAAAGGCTCCTGAAATCACAACCAGAAATATTATTAACCAATGGCCAATATTATTATTACACTAACATAACAGCCTGCTGCTCTTACAAACTGAGAAAGACCTAGAAAACTATACATAAAATAGCGTGTTTACTGGATTATTTTAGTCAAACAACAAACATTATAGCCTGACTTTGCTTGAGGCAAACACTACAGAAGTCCACACAGTTTGAGGAAGAAAGAGTGGTTTAAAAAAAAAAAAAAAATCAACTTAAAAACTTTAAAACTGTTGAGGTAGGAGTGTTTTGCTAAGTTTCCTGGCTGGTAGCTCAGGACTCAAGAATAAGAACACATATATCAAAGGAAATAAAAATGTTTTTTACATGAATACAAAACACTTAGAACTCAAACAAAATTTTTTTATGGGGAGGAAAGGGAAAGACATTCCTTAAACACCTTGGGCACATCCACACATGCAAGCAGATTTGAGCCAAGGCTTTCTGCCTCAGCACATGTGCCCAGACATGCACTTTGTTGTAGAGCAAATTGTGCCACTTGGGGCAAAATAACTCTGCCTGGCTCCTCCCGGATCTCCTTGGGAGGCTGGAGAAGAACAGGAGGAGCAGGGGGCTGGAGAGGAGCAGGGGAATGAGCAGGAGGCTAGAGACAGCCCCTGGAAATGCGCCGGAGACATTCCCCCGTCTCCAGCTTCCTGCTCATTCCCCGCTTGTCTCCAGCCTCCTAAGGCTGGAGACA